AAATAATAGGCCACGCCGACGGATCACTAAACACAAGCCCACTCAGATTTTCTGGATTCTGCGTAAGCACCTCGACATTTATGGACACCTTGTGACCACATCGACAATGCAATAAAAGTCTTAGGGAGAGCGACTAAGGCTTGATCCTTTCCAACTCCAAGTTCCCATCTCTCCTGATTCCCAATACTAATTGGAATACTCTTTTCATTCAAATCGGAGTGACAAATTCCATCTTAGCATACTTCACTATCGGAAGTCCACTAATCCTAGCTCAACCCTAAGCTCGGCACTTCTAACAGCGTCACAAGAATTAGGGGTACCAATGTGGATAAGGGCAGTTGAAATGCTACATAGTAAGCTAGTTTGCAGAAGTACCACTAATTGATATTTTAAGTTGACGCATCTGGCCCACTTGATAATGGGACATGGTTGTTCTGGAATAAATTCTACCTGCATTCAACTTAGTCTTAAAATCGTAGACATGAAAAGCAAGATGATGTAGCCTTCTGTTGAGTAGCAGTCTCCTTTAGTTTTATAGTGTTGAATGGACGTCGTTTTGGGAACTTGGTCCTAGTCCTGTGTCCTCTGCCATAGTACTTTTGATTACCAGCTTCGGACGATTAACTTGGTACATTCGCAGACGTTTTGCCGACATCGTAATCGTCATCGCCCGTGAGAGACGCCGTAGTTATCACATAGTTACAGCTTATCAAATTGCTTAGTTAAGGTAATCCTATTGACCAATAGGGGCGGGAGTGATGAAACCAGAGTTGAACAGAAAATTGGTCAAATGGACTGTCTTCACTTGTCACTTTGATATGGTATAATTCTGTGCTAACTATGGCGCCTCTCACTGACGATGCCACTGAAATGTTTGGGAATGCACCAAATAAATGATCCGAGGCTGGAAATCATAAATTCTATGGCAAGTGGCACTCCGACCAAGTTGAAAAAACAAGTCCGAAGCAACATCATCTTGGTCTTCATATCTACGATATAATTATGCTGGTAAGATTGTCAGTCAATGCACTCATTACAGCAGATCAAAGAAAACAAACATAAGTCAATCTTGCTATTTGACCTTTCTTGACTGTTGTAACCGTTATGGCATCCCTCCTAGTTTTGGCAATTTGATTAGAAACTATCATTCCGACAAGGTTAATGTTATATTATATCAAATTTATTGCAAAATTTAAATAAAACATATGATAAGGAGAGGGGCAAATTATCTAAGTTCTTAAATATTTAATCTAGACTCAGACATGATTTGAGTCAGATGCTCACTCCAAAGGATTTCCTGGAACCACAGAAGATGACAGACAAAATGTCGAAAATGATATGTGATTAAATAAAAAATGCCCCAAACGAAGCTGAACAAATATGGGAGCTAGAAGCAGCCCAAAGTTCAAGCTTCCGGCAAAAATGAAGCTGCCTCTGGAATGACGGAGCTCACAGTCCAGACAAGAAATGAATATAAGTTAGTGAATCTGTCTTCTGGCCATCCTGACCTGGAAACCAGAGAGATATTTAGGAGGGGACTTAATTTTGCACTCCGAAATAAAATAAGGCAATCAAGGACATTTTGGTAGCGGTAATAAATACCTCTGAGAAGCTGCTGGATGAATAAAAAAGTGAGCTGTTGGCGCATCAGGAGCCCAAGGATAGGGACAATATAAGCAAGATATGAAGAGAATAGAAAAGAAACGATCAAATAGTCCTACAAGCCGACAAAGAAGGTTCCACAGTGGTGATGAACAGAAAGAAATGTACAGAGAAAATTGAAAATATCCTCGGGGACACTACAACTTATCGACTGCTAACAAAAGACCGAACTGTTAAAATCAAAGGGGGCACTGTAAGAAAAACTGAAATAAATGAATATGAACGGGGAAATCGAAAAATGGACAATGAACTCACTCATACAAAAGCATGCAAGAGACCCAGTAGCATACGAGTTGCCGAAGGTACACAATGAAGGATAACTATAGAGACTGATAGTCAATAGCTAACACGAACCAACACATCAATTGGCGAAATTTATCTGCCTCAAATTAAAGAAAGTGAATGGTAGATTATCGAATACGGCGATGGCCGCATACGAATTGTTTGGAGGGAAAAAAACTTTTTGTGAGCTCAAATGTACAGTTTTTGTACACCAACATCTCATGAGAAAAAGCACTCACGGCAATACTGGAGATCTAGGAAAAAGAAAATTACATTCTGGAGAAGGAGCGAATGCGTTTTGAGTCTCTACCCCGACTATCAAAACTAACAGTAAGAACGACCTGTTTCACGTTCGAAGGCTGCATCTATGAGCAAATATTTGGTCTACCTGTGGGCTCATCACTCACACCTCTGTTGGCTAATGACTTCCTGGTCAAGTTGGAGGAGAATTTCAAAACGTTACCTCGCAATTTGGTCCCATGGAAGAGAAAAATTGGACGATTTTCTGATCTTCATAAACGAAATGGAGGAAAAAGTCAAATTCACTATGGATGTGGAAGAGAACGGACACTTACCGTTCTTGTATATGGAGGTCATTCGCTTCGAGAAAACTCTTAAGAAAGAACTTTTCTGAAGGAAATCGCATGCTGTAATAACGCTTAACTTCCAGTCGAAGCATACTTATGGGATGAAAAGATTGGAATACTCCGGAGTATGATCTTAAGAAGCTTACGACTCACAGATTCTGAGTTCTGGAAAGAGGAGCTGGGAAAACTAACTCAGATGCTTCTTGGAAACGAATATCCAGAAAAAGCAATACAGCGCAACATACGGATGGTGATGGACAGATGGAAAGAAGAAACTATGAAAGAAAGGCAAGATGAGCAGAAGAAAAATTATCCCTATGTTTATCCTCCTGTGAATTGGCTTGGAAGCTACAGCCAATACTAGGAAAATGGACGTTGGTACAATCTTCACCAGCTTGCTCACACAACATGAAGAAGTCAACAAAATGGAGTTGACAGCATAAACTGCAAGAACAGTAAACCAAAAGACAGCGAAGAGATGAGAAGGACAAGCAGCACATGAATCAAAGAACAGCAGCGACTACGTAGGAAAATGGATACGGGAGGATAGGCGATAGCAGAACACATTACCTTTACCGGCCATACAATTGAGTGGAATAAAACGGAAAGACTGACCTGATATGAGGAAAACAACAGGAAACGGAAGATTAGGGAGGCTGTGGGCATCCTCTTTCAAAGAAACATGATGAACAGGAGATTGGAAGAGGGAAAAGAGTCAGCAATGATTTCGCGTACAGGCCGAGCAGAATTGGAGATTCAACAAATACATCAAAAGGAAGATGTTTGTAGCCAGGACAACTGTTCGACAGCAGGAAGAGACATCCCCAGGCGGCGGCTCATGAGGGAGCAATGGAAGTCAAAAAAGGGCGATGGCAGTGTGGTCGCAGTCTCCTTTCGTTGTATATAAGTTATTCGACCTTGTTTTCGCAACTTAGTCATATTGATAGGAAGACTTAGAGGAACATACCTAGTCCGTAGTCCATTGTATGCATCATCATCATTTTCAGAGTAGGACCGTGGA